GTTTTTGTTTTTTTGGTAATAATTTCTATTATTATTATTATTATTTATTTTAAATTTATTTAATGATATTAATAATAATAATAATAATTTTTAAATATAAAAAAAAATTATTAGGTAAAGCAATTTTGTACTAAAACAAACAAACAAAAAGAAATTATATATATATAATAGAAGGATTTGAATCTCTGTACATGTAAATTGTAAATCGATTATAATTTTATGATTGTTTTAACCACCCTCACCCCCTAACATCCCCTTCTAACCCCTCCTCTAACATTATCGAGTTAATTGGGCCAAAACAAACAAAAAAATAATGTTTTAGTCTTTGGAAAAAAAAAAAGAAATTAAAATTTTTTTTTTTTTTTTTGGAACGAATATGGAAAATGAAATAATAATGATAAAATAATAATAATAATATTTCTGTATTGGATTTTATTTTTTATTTTTTATTTTTTGGCAGCATTAAAAAAAAAAATTTAATTAAATTGATTATAATTTCTTTATGTGTACATAATTTAAATAATTAAATATATATGATACGAAGTTGCCAAAAAAAAATTATTATTATTATTATCGCTTTATTTTATATAATTAATAAAAAATTTTAAATAATTTATTATTATTATTATTAGTTGAAATAATAATAACAATAATAATAATTTTTTTTGTGTATAAATAAAATCTATTTCGTGTTTTAGTAAATGAAAGTGAAAAAAAAATAAATAAATAAATACGTATTATTAATTAGTAAAAAAAATAAAAAATAATAAATAAAAATTGTTATTATTATTATGCATTTCATAAATTGTAGTTAAAAAAATATTTAAAAAAAAAATTTTTTTTGGGGTTGGAAAAGAAAACAAAAAAAAATTATGTACAAATATATATATATATAAATATATATTATATATTTATTTAATTGAATGAAAATGTATTATTATTGAATTATTGATTATTGCAAAAAAAATTTTGTCTTAGTGATTGATTGATTGATTGATCGATTGACGCAATTTAATAAATAAATAAATAAAAAATTATAATTATTTTTTGTTATTGTCATAGTTTTATTTGAAAACTTGACAAAAATTAAAAATAAATATATATATAACGAATTTTTATAAACTTTGTAAAATTAAATAATAAAAAAATAATTATTTAAAAAATAAAGAGGGCAGTTAATGTTTGTAACGTTTTTTTTTTTTTTTTTTTTTTTAAATAAAGGGCATTTAAATTTAAAAATAAATTTTCAAAAAAAACCGTTATTGTTAAATAATTTAAATAAGGTTTTGATTTAATAATTACTCCGACGTATTATTATTATTATTATTATTTTCGAGGTAAATTTACGCGTAACTATTTAATAATCTTTTATTTAAAAAAAATTGTTTATCATTATTATTATTTTATTTACATAAAAAGTGTAAAATTTCATTTTTTTTGTGATTGAATATAAGATACAAAATAAAAACAAAACAAATTGTTTGTTTACATTGAAATTTTCAAGCAGAAAACATTTTTTTCAGAGTGCAGGGAAATTTTTTTTTTTTTCGACGTTGGTCATACTAGTTGGCAGTTTGACTTTGTTACAGCAAATGGCGGGTCGTGTTTTTACTTTTGGTTCGTTTTAATATTTTTTTTTGTGATTTAGTGAATGTTTTTTTTAATTATTATTATTTAAAAAGAAATATTAAAGGTAAATAATTTATTTTATTAAATAATTTAAAGTATTTAACGATAAAACGATACTTTTATGTCGGGAAGTAAAATTTTTATCAAAACCTTATTACGAAAAACCGTTACAAAATTTAAACCGAAGAATAATTTATTACGTTCAAATTAATTAATCAAAATAAAGTAATCGAATAAAAAGTTTTTTTAAAAAAAATAAGGTGTCGTGAGGAAATGATTTTGTATGAAAATGCTATTCACTGCCATCTTTAAATTGAATATTCGAATAGAAAAAAAAAATTGTGTAATGTTGAATTATAATTACAACGTCTAACACTAAATTAATTTTTTTTTTTTTTTTTTTTACATAATTACGATTTTAATTTGATTTAAAAAAGCTAAAAAAAAATTATTATTATTATTATTTTCTCGAATCGTAATATAATTATTATTGTTTTTACATCACAGATTCTTATTAAATTTTTTTTTTTTTTTTTTATAAATATTTTCATTTTTAATAGATGTTGTAATTAAATTTGAAATTAAGCTTTGAAATTTATTATTTATTATTAAATAATTATTATTTATAAATATTGTGGGGAAAAAGAAACGGGTCTGCTTCTCTATTTAGTTATTTCTCTTTAAAAACAATAAATTTTCAAAATAAATAAATAAATAGTTAGGTGTAATATTAGGCTGTTGCTCATACTCATAATTATTATTATTATTTTTTTATATTTTTACTTAAATAAATTTCAAAGCTTAATTTTCCGTTTGTTTGTAATTATGGACAAAAAAAGGTTACTTTTTAAAAAAAAATAGTTTTACTAATACGTGCTGCAAAGACAAAAAATAATAATGATAATGATTTTTGTTTGTTTATTGTAAAAATTTCTGAACGAGCACAATGGAAAAATGTGAAGCTCAAAAAAGAATTATATACACATACATACACACACTCACACACAAACACACACATATATATATATATATATATATATATATATATATAAATATATATATTAAAAATAAAGTTTTAAAATATATATTTTTTAAATATATATTGTAATGTTATCCTTTTTGAAACGTATATATAGTTAGTTAGCCATTAATATAATTTAATTTTCTTTCACTGTATATAATTTGCACATTTGAATAAATTCACATTTTTCACATTATTTTTTATGTTTTCAATAATTATTATTTATTATAGGAATGTTGCAAGGTAAACAATGCAATGGTAAGAGTTTACTATTATTATTATTATTATTAATACCATCGATACTTTTGTCGTAAAAAGGTAAAAATTACTCTTTCTAATAACGTTCAAGTGCTTGGATTAAAGAAAAGAAAACAAAATAATAATAATAATTTTTTTCCATAAAATTTATTATTAAAATTAAAAAATATCAGTGATATCGATTTATTATTATTATTATTACACTTTCTTAACGATTTGAACGACGTCTTCATCGTTTAAAATATGATCCCTTCCTACTTTTTGCGGTTGATGTTTGACTGATGAACCCCAGACCAAAGCATATTTAAATTCTTTCGCTATACTCCTATGTAATTTATTGCAAAAATCTTCCACGGATCTTTTTTCGCAGTGAAGAACAACCGGAGAATTGTAATCGGGTAATTGACCTTTGGGTTTCGTGTAAATCCTTATGAGTTTTAAATATTCCCACATTTTTTCCAAAAGGTCGTCGAAATTCCATTTGTGGTGAGCGGATATGGGTACGGTGTGAGGGATTTTGTAAATTATATCCAATTCTTCTATGCTGATCTGATCGATTTTGTTGAGGATGTAAATGCAAGGAACGTAAATTCTATTTCCTTCTATGACGTCAATCAAATCATCACTGGAGGCATCGTATCTAAAAAATATTTAATTTAAGTTTTTTCTTTTTTTTTTTAAATTTACATAGGTTTCGATTAGTGTGACGTCACTACCTGAGAGTTATATCAGCGTTGTGAATTCTATATTCGGAAAGTATGGCTTTGACGGAATCTAAATCCAATTCCGATTGGGGTACCATACATTGCAAATTAACTCCACCTTTATCCTTTTTTCTGTAAACGATGTTTGGAGGTTCTTTGTTGAGCCTTAATCCAAATCCTTCCAATTCGTGCTCGATTATTTTCTTATGTTGTAAAGGCTTTAACACGTCCAATACTATGAATATTAAACTGCAGGTTCTAGCAACGGCAATTACTTGTCTTCCTCTTCCCTTACCATCTTTAGCACCTTCAATGATACCTAGAGAGAGAGGGAGAGAGAGAGAGAAAACATTTATCATATTCTAATGCAATTATTCAATAGGTTAATGTATAAAACTTTTTTAAAGAAAAATTGACTCACCTGGTAAATCTAATAATTGAATTTTTGCTCCCTTATATTTTATACAGCCGGGTACGGTTGTAAGTGTCGTGAATTCATAGGCTGCCACTTCCGAATAAACACCAGCTAAATTGCTTAGGAGGGTAGATTTTCCAACGGACGGAAATCCAACGAAACCTATACGAGCATCTCCGGTTTTAGCCACATCGAAACCATCTCCTGGTCCTCCACCGCCTCCTTTAGGTGTGATAAGTTCTCTTCTCAATTTAGCTAAACGTGCTTTTAGTAAACCTAAATGACCGGCCGTTGCTTTATTTTTTTGAGTCCTGGCCATTTCAGACTCGATGGCTGCTATTTTTTCCAAAATTGTGCTCATTTTTCCGATTTACGTGCGACTAAAAAAATCAAAATTTTACAAATGGGTAATTAAAATTTTTTTTACAAGTAATACTGATTAGTATGATTAATGATATTTAGGTTACATAGTTTAATTTTTGAAAAAAATGCTTTTATTTTTTAACTCTGTATCGTACAAATTCATCTTTTTCAGGTTCGTAAGTGCCAATTATTTTACATTGGCAACCATCCATTAAAGTCTTTAAATTGTTTTTAAATTCGTGTAAAGATTCTTTCCTGTAATTTAATAGATACTTTGGTGTGTCAATTAAAATTCTACAATCAGGTTTAAACATTTTTATCATTTCCGGTTTTAAATATTTTAAAACCGTCGTTTGACATATGAAAACAACATCGAAAAAATTTTCATAATCCAATTTTTGAGGATAATCTTTTAGTGCTGTTGTTGGTAAAAATTTAACATTACAATTGTTGGTGTCTATTGAGTTATACTCCTCGCAAGCATCCTTAATTCTTATTCGATTAGAATCCATTGACTCTGGTAAGTCGGATATTAATTTTAATTTGTGGGATGTATCCAGATAAACGACAGGAATACAATGATCACTGTTATCGGAAGATGGAACGAAAGGTTTTTGATGTTGTAATTCGAAAAATATTCTCATTAGATTTCTTTCTGTGACATCTGTTGCCGTTTTGGGAAGTTGACCATTGACTTTTTTAAACATTTCTTCATCTTCGCAATGAAAACCGAATGCTGGATATGGTCCTGTTGTAATATCTCCTAAATATCCATAACTCAAAATTTTACTTCCAGATGGAAATATAGCAGAGGCTAAGGTATTGTTGGGCATACACGGATCAGTATCTTCAAAATAATATGACATTCCTCTTTCTCGAAATCTTTGGTACTCCTGTGACTTGAGCACTTCGGCTCCAAAACAATGGTATCTCATATGATAATCCCAATCGTAAACACCAAATCTCGAATCATATCTTACTCCTAAATCTTTTCTTATTCTTTCATTCCAAGCAGTAACAATGTCGAAAGAGTTTTCATTAGAAGCCCAATATTTGAAAATAACTTCCAACTGATCTCTTTCTTTGTATTTTAAATTATCAAGATAAATAGATGGCAAGATTTTTTTATTGTAGTTAGTATTGGTCACAACATTTAATAAACATTTTGACACTCTCGTTAGATATTTTTTAGTAGCTGGTCTAAGAAGAACATTACCATAGAGTTCCATAAAAAACAAAGTTTTCTCGACAATGCCAAGGCGATCAGGTGGTTCCAATGCAAGTGTTAAAAATAATAATTGCCTGGCTACATTTTCTAGAAGAGGTTCATATATGTAAAAATTTATACCGATACTTAAGTCATGCCTGTATTTCTGGGCTAATGTTTTCAACACATGTCGACAATCAAATTGCCCAATCAGTAAAACATTATATACGTTTTCTTTGCTTTCAGGTTCAGAAGAAGAATTGCTCGAGTCAGGTACTTCATCTAGTAAATCCAAAGCTTCGGAAAATCCCCACCACATGATAAAACAAAGGTAAGTGCAATATTTTTTTTTTTTTACAATATTTACAATATGGTTGACGGTATCTATAGTAACTCCTAACACAAATTGATACGCATTATAAATGTAAAAATTAAATTGAGAAAAATATGTTAAACATAGTAAATGCATAGTAAAAGCCTCCTGCTTTCAATTAATAATAATAATAATAATAAACAAATAGAATTAAATTTCAAATATAAAAACTTACCACTTTCAAAAAAATATTTAAGTAATTTTTTTTTAGAATAAAATAATATAAGCTTTTATAAGTAATTAATCAACGGAAGAGAATTAAAAATTAAATCGGGGGAAAAAATCACGACATGCTAAGCAAAGATCGTGTCACCAGACACGTAATTTTAAATGTACCGTATATTGAGTGCCTAACCTGTTTTTTTCTCATATTTGCGAAATGAAATGACAAAAACCGTTAAGTAAAAAATAATTTTAAAATTATCTAAATAACTTGAAAACTTTTTGAAAATTCACTTTAAATATTTTTTTTTCTTATTTCACCCCGCATAACGTTAATCGTTATCGTAAGGAAAAAAAAAAATAAATAACAAAAAAATTATTTTTAAAAATATATTTCATGCATTTCAACATTTGACTAAAATATTATTTTTATATGATAATTACAAATTTCAATTAATGGTAAAACCGTTTAAAAAAAAAAAATAGTTAATTAATTATTAATAACTGCACGGTTATAATTTTTTTTTATTTATTACATTTATTTATTTATTTATTTTTCCAAATAAGCTTTTTCAATGCTTAATTGTACTCGTAATGATCAAAACTTATTGATCCAATAATTCAATTAATGTTTACAATTATAGTCGGGGGAGGGGTGAGGGGAAGAGGGGGGGCTAAAATAAAACTAATTTTTTTTTTCAAACATAAAAAGCTCGTGAATAATAATAATAATAATAATAACAATATTTTAATTAAAAAAAAAAATCATTATTATTATTATTAATACAAAAAATTAACGGTTATTTTAAAATCAATGATCTTTATATTAGACTTTCAAGCATGAAGAATATTCGAATAGCATATCGTAATCGATTCCATTTTTTCAATTCGTGTTAGAAAAAGATAAAAAATAGAAATTTTTTTTTTTTTTCCTAGCCTGTAAACAAGCACTATACATATATTCTACATATATATATATTTAAATAAATAATTTGTTAAAACGTTATAAATAAAAAAAAAAAAAATTACAAACGATTTAACAACGGTGTAACGGTGCAAGCAATAATAATAATAATAATAATAATAATAATAGGATTTAATTACAACCTTTTTTTTTTTTTTTTTTTTTTTTAAATTAATAAAATTTTCCCCCATGGTAGGAAAATTATTTTCTAAAATGTTTGGTTACTCTTTCCATGGCCAAATCAATTAAATTATCTACAATTATGATTTGATAGTAAGTTTTTTTTTAATCGCTTTTGACTACGGTGTTTTCCCTTTTTTCGACTTTTGTCATACGCATGCGCACACGCACACGCACACGCACGGACGCACGCACGCACACGCACGCACGCTAACGACAATCCTTTAAAAATTTCTCTTCGAATATATCCAATTCGTTTAGTACGTAGTTGGCTTTATTACGTAAGACTTTCGCTCTGTTTCCGGCTTCGTCCAATTCTTTCAATTCTTTATCTAAATCTTTTATTTGTTTCGTCATTTCCGTCGTCGACTCGTCAACCAGGTGACACAATCTCGCAAACGTTGACGAAAGTTCCCTGTGGATAAGGGGGGAAGGGGAAGGAGAGAGAGAGAAAAAAAAAATTAACCGTTTTGTTTTTGATGACGTCACAAACTCTATGCATGCACTATATATACTCACTGTTGAACTTGATGACTGCAATTTGCGGACGTCAAATCGACAATCATTCTGAGTTTTTTTGTCGCGTGATTAACGTATTGCTTTTTAAATGTTTTCTCTTTTGCCTTGTTCGTCCACGTTAATCTTTCGTAGAAATAAACGCATCCGTACAGGGCTCCGGTAACTAGTATGACTTTCCAACCGACCGTTCTCATCATCTAGAATTGGAAAGTTGGTATATCGAAGAAATCTTAAGATATAATAATAATTTAAAAAAAAAAAAAAATGCTTACAAAACCCGTGAGTAAGAGAACTCCCATCGTTCCCTGAGAGCTAACCGATGCCATTGCCATTCTAGATATTAACGACCAATCGTTGCTGCTCATGTTAATCGGTGCGGGAGATAATCCTCGAAAATCTAAAGACGTATCCGGTGTTGGCATTCCCGATGGCACCTTTAATCATTTAAAAGATGATTCATTCATCGGGATTATCCATCCTCGTTCAATCAAAATCGTAAAAAGAAAGGTTTTATCACATAAATTAGATTAGTACCGATGTTTTGTAATTGCTAAGCGCGATTTTGTGACCGGATTTCCCCGTGAACCTATTTATAATCGCCGTTAATCCCCAAGAAAATCTAAATTCCAAATCTTCTTGAAAATCCGCACACAAATTATCACAATTGAGTCGATACAATATCTGAAAGGGTTCCTTTCTCGGAAGCATGGATACCAACAATTGTTTCTTATCATCCGGTAGTAATTCCATCATCCTCCCTAAAACAAAATTAATTTTCACGTGTTTTTCCCACCCCCCCGTCGAGTCCGTTAATCATTCAAAAATAACCAACCACTCACCCGTCATTTCCCTTTGACTGTTTTCAATGTTCATGGCTAAAGCGCTCGAGAGTCTCGCTCTTAAATTACTTCCCAAACCGTTTTCGACGTGTGCGTGAATTTCTTTCTTGTACACGTTGAGCACGAGGGGTTCCGGATGAAAGGGAAGATTAAATTCGTCGACCAAAACGAAAAGACGTCGTATTTCTTCGTTCAACGCTTTCGAAACCTTTAACACGTCATAAAGCAATAATTAAATTTAAAAAAAAAAAAAAAGGCAACGTTGCAATGAGTGACGTACGTACTTTCTGTTCTACGTCATCAACCATGTGATTTATTTTTTCTTTCATTTCTTGCGTGAGTAGTAAAAGTTGTTGTTCGGTAAAATTTAATTTTTCGTACACCAATTTTTTAACGGATGCTTTTTCAGATTTCAATCTCAACGTCGTTTCGTAAATGTTGTCCATGACGTGACGAATGTCCCTTTAAATTAAATAAATTAAATAAAATAATTCGATGTGGAAATTATTAAAATGCGCACACATATTTTTAACTTACGAAGCGATTAATTTTCCCCTCTGCGAATGTTGATCGAATTTCGTTTTAACCGCGGATTTTGATATGCATTCTTCGAATTTTTTTTCAAAATCTTGAAATTCGAAATAACGGTTGGGAAAACCTTCGGCGAGCGCTCCAGCTAAAAAATATTCGTTATTATAATCCGTCATGTTGCGAAAATTTTAAAAAAAAAAAATCGTTCTTCTCACCGTGTGCGGGTTGTCCTTTTTGTTCGCACAATCGTGCTTGGAGAGCTTCTTTTGCCGAAACGAAAAATATCCTTTCTTGCGCTTCCTTTTGCGTACAAACTTTTAATTCTTTAACAAGGAATTCCATTGTTCTCTCCGTGTGCTGAGAACGAACCTGTAGACCATAGGAAAAAAATGCATTTAATTCAATCCCCATTTTGTAAAATTAATAAATGTAAATGACACACGAGAAACGTTGAGCATTTTTAACGGTTTTTGCGTACAAACAAAAGCTCGAAATCGTGGGGGGAAAAAAAAATTATTATTATTATTATTATTATTATTATAGTGCTTTAGCTAAATGAGATAGAAAATTTTTTGATTAATGAATGCCGTTCGATAATATTAAGGAGTTTGAAAATAAAAATTAAATATTAGTTTATGTGAATGAAAAATATACACACCTGATCCTGTTCAACGTTTAGCTTAAAAAATTAAAATAATTTCCATAATAATTTTATTTGTATTAAATACTATTGTTATTATTATTATTATTATTATTAATTGGCTCGTAAAAAAATATTATTATTATTATTATTCATTATTATTGAACTTTAAATGACGATTATTAGGTTAAACTCACCCCATCTAAAAATTCCGGTTCTGATGCTGAAGCATCCCATCGATTATTTAAAATAAAAATGTTTGGTTTAGACAATCGAGTTGAAACTTTGTGGAAAAAGTTTTTTTCCTAAAAAGAAAATTTTTTGATACCTGACGCCATGTTTAACAATCAAATATGCATGCACATATTAGAGTAAATGTTGTTGACTTACTGTGACCATTAGTGTGCTTTCTGCATTTGCAACCAGTACAAATACATCGGCATCCAAACAATGTTTATCAATCCAATCGTCTAAATTAGGGGAGACATCAATACCGGGTGAATCGACAAATACGACATCATCTCTCAACAATAAACATTTATCTTTCGGCCAAAATATTTTAACCAATTGACTTTCGACTAATTTTTCTTTACACAATGCATGTCCCAATTGAGCAACTGACTGAAACGAAAAAAAAAAAATTTGGAAAACAAATGAAATTTTCTATTGAGAGCTTTAGCAAAACCTAAAAAAATTGAAATTAAAAAAACCGTCAACACTACCTTTACATTTTGTTTTTCTTTTGAACCTTCCGTCATGAGGTAACTTTCTCCATTTTCAGAACCTTCAACTTGAAGGAAACAATTTGTAGTATGACCGATTCCGCTGGGTAATATTTTCTCCCTAAGCATAGCATTAATGACTGTTGATTTTCCATTACTCGTCCTTCCGAAAAATGCTACTTTCATGTGATCTCTTTTTAAAACATCTCTAATCGCATGAACTTTATCAATAAAGCTTGTAATGAGTTTAATGTCATTTTCTAAAGGGATTCCATCTTCTTTTTTTAATTCTTCAAAATAAACATACATATAGAACCATTATTATTATTATTACAGTGGTAGTTTGACATTTTTATGGAATGTTATAAATGCATACCTTGCATATAATTCACTGCATCTTTCACATAATCTTCGACATCAATAAATATATCATTTATCTGCTTTTTGGCTCTAACAAATATCTGAAGAGGAGAATTTAACACTCTTGAATCCCCATTTGAAACAAGGGTACCCCTTGAAGTTGCCCCCTCACCAGGCATCATAGAGATTGCTCTATTAATATATGCTGCCATTTAAAATTTAAAGGCAACCCCTTTTAAATTTAAAAAAAAAATACTTTTTTTTTTTTTTTTTTAACTAACGAAAAAAAAAAGGCACATGACCCTGTGAAATGAATATTGATTGCTTATCAATGTGGCAAGCATATTTAAAACTGCAAAAACAAAATAAAATAATAAAAATAATAATAATAATGAATTAAAAAAAAAAAAACAAATATATAAAAAGCATAAGTTAAAATCACATGCCTTCGAAAATACCATCAAAATAATATAACATAAATAATAATAATAATAAATGCTTTCTTTAGGGTGATTTTAAATAAAATAAAATAAAATAACAATCACTACTACTGCAAATAAACAATGCATACATTAAATAACTTGGATTTATCTATTAATAATGATTACATCATTTAAAAAAAAATAAACTTATAATAATGTGTGTTTATTAATAGCAAATGAAGATACTAAAATTTTTTTTTTTTTTTTTTTTTTTTAAATTTTTAACGTTTATTAAGCCTTGCTCTATGATGAAATCTAATCATATTAAATAAATTCATATCGACCTGTTCATTTCGAGGCATTGTATAATAAAAGTTCTTATTAAATGTAAAAAATTCTGGAAAAAATTTAAAACCTCATTAGTGGCAAAAAAAAAATTTTTCATATGCGAATTAGAGCACAATTAAATGTCAATATAAGTTAAAATAAATAATTTGAATTATTTTAATGAATTAATAGAAAATTATCAATTTTAACGTACCTAAATCACATTCATTTCTTAAATTTTTTAACTTCTTAACCTCCTTTACCAAGGAAAAAAAAAAATGTCGCTCAATACTTAGTTTCTTGTGCCACGTTTTTACGTATATTTTGATTGTTGTCACCACTTTTTTTTATGTAGGATAATTATTATTGGTTATTAAAAAAAAAAAAATTACTTAATTGTGCGCTTTATAATTACGTATATATTTATAATAAAAAATAATAATAATAATAATATCTAATTGAGATTAAATTACAGTTTGAAAAAAAAAAAATACAACAGTCTTTTAAATAAGAAATATTTTGGCACAAACAGGAGTCAAATAACCCATTATAATTGTGGATAATAAGTTTACAGATTGATTATCTAAAATTTGATTTCCAGTAATTGGAATTATACCATCACCAGAGTGTTCCACAATGCATCCACTCGATTTTTCTATACCTGTTTTAAAAATAAAATTATTTTCATTAATGTATTATCAATGGAATAATGCTGGTTAAAAATATTCTGTGAAAATGAATTACCATTATCTCAGGTCAAAGGTCAGCTTATTTTAAAATTTATTTACTTAGTGTTATGACATTTATCACACATTTAAAAACGGGAAAAAATTGGTTTAAATATTTTATGAAAAAATATATAGTCGAGTTGATAAGGATTTAAAAACCCGGAAACTTAATTTTAATTAATGAGTTAAGTATTTGTTTTTTACTTTACCTGAAAATTGTAATGTAGCTCCTAAAAATGAGTCAATCAAGCTTCCGAGCAATCCTGCAAAACCACCGATTAAAATTAAAGGCCACTGAGCAGGACCTTTTGATAAAAGATTACCATCGACACAATACAACAGACTTAAGTAATATGAAAGACCTATGAATATCCCTCCGAGGAAACTAACAAAAAGACCGACTAAAATAAAAAAATAATAATAATATTATTTTTTAATAAGCAGGTTAAAAATTTTTTTTAAAAGAAGGAAAAAAATATTATGTCTTACAAAGTGTTACTCCTCCATTTGTTCCTTTGGGTACAGGTTTAAAAGATGTTATTAGAAATGGTTGACCGCCAAAAACAGTTCCTAATTCTGATGCCCATGTATCTCCATTCGAGCAAGCAAATACTCCTAATGAAATGAAAGGTTAGAATTATTGTCAATTTAAACTTTAAATTTAAATGTATAAAATAATTTTAAAATATTTAAAACCTAAAATTCCAATAGATAACCATGATGCTCTGTAATTTGTACTAAAATTAATTGCCAATTCACCGCTGCCATAGTCGAGTAAATACAAAATAGCTAAAAATGTTGCCATGCCGCCATTACAAATCACTTGAATCCAATTACGTTCACCACCTATTGAAATCGTTAAATTTAAAGAAATGAATATAAATTTTAATTCAAGTCATTTTACACATGCAAACCTACCTTCTTTAAAATTTTTTTCAAATTTTCTTTTTTCCTTGCTTTTTATTTTAGTTACTTTTGAACCGGTAATAAAAAATGTCATAAGACAAGCCAAAAAGCAATAACTACTTAATGTAATAAAAAATCCTACAATTAATCCCGATATTGCTCCACTTTTATTGATGCTTTTATTTCTAAATCCTAAAACTATTGTATGAAATTATTAAATTTCACTTTTAATAATAAAATAATTATCAATTATTTATTTATAATATTACCAGCAACAATAATGGGTATAGATATTGAAGCCAACCATCTAGTCGGAGGTATATGTTCCATTTCATCTTCTCCTTTATAGGGTAAATGAAACAACCATATATTTGTAAACCAAAAAGTTAAAGCCAAAGGTATTGCAATCATTCCTAATAAAACAGGAAACAGAGACAATAATTTAGAAGGCTCTGTTTCGTGTTTTACCCCAATTTCTTCTTTTCCCATTTTTTTTAATCAATGAAAATATATTTATAACTTGTGCTTAAAATATACATGAAAAACAATTAAAAACGTAACATTCATTTAAATTTAAAGTATTTAAATAGTTCTAATTTCGAATTTGTAACATAATAAAAAATATATATAAATAAAATTAAATGACATAGAAAACATGTTATTATCAATTAAAAGAAACGATATCACAACCATCTATCGTGGCACGAAATTCTTGCGAAATTTGACAACCCTGTATAAATAAAATTCTTTCTTTCAACGAATGCAATGGAACGAAGTTTTCATGGAATTATTTAAGTTTTAGTAAATTGTATAAAAAAATATTTGTGTGATCGATTAACGATTTAATCAAAGGTAGAATTATCTAAGTACTTACACTTTTATTTTTTTGTGATGTCAAAAGTATAAGGAAAATGTTTAATTGGTGCTAAATGAAATTGAAAATGGAGTATATTCTATAAACTATGTAATTCTGTTCGAGGACCTGTAATTATAGCAAATTTCATTGTAAATAATTTTAAGGAAAAAATATAATTAGCATATTTTATGTGGAATTCATACAAAAATTATTTTCAAGTAATAATAAATATGTTTTACAATGGTGAGGTAAAATCATGTCACAATTTATAAAAATAATTTTTTTTAAATAGTTTATTTTTAAAAAAAAATTTTTTTAAACTGATTTTTACAAAATTTACAATACAAAAATACAATTTATAAATTACATTTAATATTACTCTTGGTATAAGTTATAATTAAAGAACTCTATTCGAATTTGTATACACAAAGGTAAGCTGTAATAAAAAAATGCTTCATACAGAAACATGCTTTTAAAAAATAAGTAAATTAAATATGTATTAAAATTAAACTACAAAAGTTTATATACAGTAAAGTATAAAAATACAAAAAGTCATTTCAATAAAAAACAGTAGCATAAGTTACAAAAAAAAAAAAAAGTTTAAGTACATTTTTTTACAATTAGTAGGAAAAAAAAAAAAAAAAAAACATGTTTCTGTATGTATAATTTTTTAAAAATTACTCATTAAATATTAATAAAAAAAAAAAAAGAATTATAATTTTTAAAAAATAAATAACCGAATGAGCAGACACAAACAGCTGACCTTTGCTGAGTTTTACTTATTGCAAAAAAAAATTACAATAGAATTCTCATGATTATTGTATACCAAGAGTAAGTTAAAAGAAAACATTGAGTCAGTATTAAAAAATGAATTATTTAATACCATGTGGGTCTCAAATTAAAACCATATTACCAAATTTAAAATTACACTCAATAAATGTAAGCTCCATTGGCATCAGTTTGTTGAGTAACAGTTGAAGGAACCCTACTTCCAAAAGAAGATCCACCGAATCCACCAACTCCAGACAATCCTCCAAAACCGGAGCCTTTGTTACCTCCGAAACTACCAGACCCGAAAGAACCTCCGGCTCCAGAACCACCAAAACCTCCAGAACCTCCGGCTCCTGAACCACCAAAACCTCCAGAACCTCCGGCTCCTGAGCTACCAAAACCTCCAGAACCTCCGGCTCCTGAACCACCGAATCCACCTTTAGAAGGAGCTCCATAAGTTGAGCTTGGTCTAGATCCGGATGAACCACCAAAACCACCAGAACCACCTAATCCACCGGATCCTCCGAATCCTCCAGCACCACCACTACCTCCTAATCCTCCAAGTCCACCAGAACCACTAGATCCTCCAAATCCACCGGATCCTCCTAATCCTCCAGCGCCACCACTACCTTTAGATCCTCCAAAAGATCCAGATGATGGAGCTCCGTAAGTTGAACTTGGTCTAGAACCAGATGAACCTCCGAATCCACCGGCACCTCCGGACCCTCCGAATCCTCCAGCACCACCAGAACCTCCGAATCCACCAGCAGCACCGGCTCCAGATCCTCCAAGTCCACCAGAACCTCCAAATCCACCAGCACCACCGGCTCCAGATCCTCCAAGTCCACCAGAACCACCGAATCCGCCAGATCCTCCTAATCCTCCAGCGCCACCACTACCTTTAGATCCTCCAAAAGCTCCAGATGAGGGAGCACCGTAAGTTGAACTTGGTCTAGATCCGGAAGAACCACCAAATCCACCGGCACCACCAGATCCTCCGAATCCTCCAGCACCTCCGGCTCCAGATCCACCGGCACCACCGTGGCCGCCAGATCCTCCAAATCCTCCAGAACCTCCGGCTCCAGATCCTCCGAATCCTCCAGCACCACCAGCTCCAGAGCCTCTGAACCCACCAGATCCTTTACCTCCACCGCTACCTCCAAATCCTCCAAAACCTCCAGATGATGGAGCTCCGTAGGTTGAACTTGGTCTAGAGCCAGAGGAACCACCAAATCCACCGGCACCACCATGTCCGCCGGATCCTCCAGCACCACCAGCTCCAGAACCACCAAATCCACCAGCACCTCCGGCTCCAGATCCTCCAAGTCCACCAGAACCACCAAATCCGCCGGATCCTCCGAATCCTCCAGCGCCACCGCTACCTTTAGATCCTCCAAAAGCTCCAGATGATGGAGCACCGTATGTTGAACTTGGTCTAGATCCGGAAGAACCACCAAATCCACCGGCACCACCGTGTCCGCCGGATCCTCCGAGTCCACCAGCGCCACCAAATCCGCCGGATCCTCCTAATCCTCCAGAACCTCCGAATCCACCAGATCCTCCTAATCCTCCAGCGCCACCACTACCTTTAGATCCTCCAAAAGATCCAGATGATGGAGCTCCGTAAGTTGAACTTGGTCTGGAACCAGATGAACCTCCGAATCCACCGGCACCTCCGGCTCCAGATCCACCGTGGCCGCCGGATCCTCCAAATCCTCCAAAACCTCCGGCTCCAGTTCCTCCGAATCCTCCAGCACCACCAGAACCTCCGAATCCACCAGATCCTCCTAATCCTCCAGCGCCACCACTACCTTTAGATCCTCCAAATGATCCAGATGATGGAGCTCCGTAAGTTGAACTTGGTCTAGAACCAGATGAACCTCCGAATCCACCAGCACCTCCGGCTCCAGATCCACCGTGGCCGCCGGATCCTCCAAATCCTCCAGAACCTCCGGCTCCAGATCCTCCGAATCCTCCAGAACCACCGAATCCGCCGGATCCTCCTAATCCTCCAGCGGCACCACTACCTTTAGATCCTCCAAAAGCACCAGCTGATGGAGCACCGTATGTTGAACTTGGTCTAGATCCGGAACCACCAAATCCACCGGCACCACCGTGTCCGCCGGATCCTCCGAGTCCACCAGCACCACCAAATCCGCCGGATCCTCCGAGTCCTCCAGAACCACCGAATCCACCGGATCCTCCTAATCCTCCAGCACCACCACTACCTTTAGATCCTCCGAAACCACCGGATCCTGATCCTCCAAATCCACCAGAACCTCCAGCACCACCGGATGTGCTTCCGAAACCTCCGGTACTTGGGGCACCATATAATGTGCTTGGTCTTGATGATCCAGAAACACCAAATCCAACAGCTGTACCTTTACCACCAGAACTTCCGAATCCACCGGACCCTCCAAGTCCACCAGAACCTCCGAGTCCTCCAGCACCACCAGCTCCAGCACCTCCGAAACCACCTGATCCTCCAGCGCCACCAGCACCTAATCCACCAAATCCACCTGTGGAAGGTGCTCCATAAGTTGAACTTGGTTTAGAACCCGATGAACCACCGAATCCACCGGCACCACCGCGTCCGCCAGATCCTCCGAAACCTCCAACGCCTCCTGCTCCGGAACCACCAAGTCCTCCAGAACCTCCAAATCCTCCCGATCCTCCTAATCCTCCAGCACCACCGAAAGTACCAGATGATGGAGCGCCATATGTTGAACTGGGTCTAGATCCAGAAGAACCACCAAATCCAGAGGACCCACCGCGTCCGCCGGATCCTCCAAGTCCTCCAGCACCACCTGCTCCAGAACCTCCGAATCCAGCAGATCCTCCTAATCCTCCAGCGCCACCAGAACCTGATCCACCGAATCCTCCAGATCCTTTAGCTCCACCACTACCTCCAGATCCTCCAAAAGCTCCAGATGATGGAGCTCCATAAGTCGAACTTGGTCTAGAACCAGATGAACCACCAAATCCACCGGCACCACCGTGTCCGCCGGATCCTCCGAGTCCACCAGCGCCACCAAATCCGCCGGATCCTCCAAGTCCACCAGAACCACCGAATCCGCCGGATCCTCCTAATCCTCCAGCGCCACCACTACCTTTAGATCCTCCAAAACCACCAGATGAGGGAGCGCCGTAAGTTGAACTTGGTCTTGATCCAGAAGAACCACCAAATCCACCGGCACCACCGGACCCTCCGAATCCTCCAGCACCTCCGGCTCCAGATCCTCCGAGTCCGCCAAAACCACCGAATCCACCGGATCCTCCTAATCCTCCAGCACCACCACTACCTTTAGATCCTCCAAAACCACCAGATGATGGAGCGCCGTAAGTTGAACTTGGTCTAGATCCGGAAGAACCACCAAATCCACCGGCACCACCGTGTCCGCCGGATCCTCCGAGTCCACCAGCACCACCAAATCCGCCGGATCCTCCGAGTCCTCCAGAACCTCCGAATCCACCGGATCCTCCTAATCCTCCAGCGCCACCACTACCTTTAGATCCTCCAATAGCACCAGATGAGGGAGCGCCGTAAGTTGAACTTGGTCTAGATCCAGAAGAACCACCAAATCCACCGGCACCACCGGATCCTCCGAATCCTCCGGCTCCAGATCCTCCGAAACCCCCGGATCCTGATCCTCCAAATCCACCAGAACCTCCAGCGCCGCCACTACCTTTAGATCCTCCAAAAGCTCCCGATGATGGAGCTCCGTAAGTTGAACTTGGTCTAGATCCAGAAGAACCACCAAATCCACCGGATCCTCCGCGGCCACCAGAGCCACCAAATCCGCCGGATCCTCCGAGTCCAGCGGAACCACCAAATCCACCAGATCCTCCTAATCCTCCAGCGCCACCGCTTCCTCCAGCTCCTCCGAGTCCAGCGGAACCACCAAATCCACCGGACCCTCCTAATCCTCCGGCGCCACCGCTTCCTCCAGCTCCTCCGAATGCGCCTGCGGATGGAGCTCCGTAACTAGAGCTTGGTCGGGATCCTCCGAACCCTCCCGATCCACCTAGTCCTCCGGAACTTCCGGATGAACCTCCAAACCCTCCACTTGGGGATTTAGATCCAAAGGCCCCTGTGAAGAATATTTTGATTTTAATATAATCTTTTCCTTTTTTTTTTCGTTTTTGAAATGTTTTACTTAATAATTTTTTTAAACTGGGAGTACCTGATGAAAAGCCTCCGGACGATGGACCAAATCCGCCACCACCAGCTCCACCGGCTCCAGGCAAAGTAAATGCCGGGGAAGGATTTTCTCTTGGGTATCCGGCAACTATAACATTATAAAGAGATATTTTGCAATGAAATTTCTTTTCTACGGTATTACTATTCTTTTTTTTCTTTTACATACATTCGATTAAATTATAAAAGTCTAATTCTCCACCATAAAAGGCGGTGAGTAAGGTTTGAGTGAAAAATAATAATAAATAACAGAATAATAAAGTAAGTGTTTAAAGAAAACTTTCACCTCCTCCTCCTCCTCTTATTTTTTATTTATGAAAAAGGTCAATTTTACGATAATTTATTTACCTTATCATTTGTTAACAACATTGATAACAATACTCTCATCACAATAAATGAAAATTTTTTTATTCCCACGTCAAAAAATACAATCAATCAATCAATCAATTTTTTAAAAACCCATTCATTCATTTTAGGTGCTCATTTATTGTGTTATTTGTCGTGTAAATAGACGATTAATACAATTTTCCGTTATTTATACTATTGTAATTCTTTTTTTTTCAAAATGGCTTCCACGAAAAACGGAAAAACAAAACAAAGCAAAATTTTTCAAAAGTTATTTTATAAAAATCAATTATCGATCGATTCGTATCGCACGTTTTTCATAAAAAAAAAAAAAAAAACGTAAAAACGTGTTCGAAAACCGTTTTGAAATGTTTTTGTATTAAATAATAATAATAATAATAATAATAATAATAATAATAATAATAATAATAATAATCGCTTTCGTTTCTTTCTATTTTTTTCCACTTCCCACTTCGTTTTTTTTTTTTTTTCCACCTTTTCACTTACGTAACGACTAAAAAAAAACAAAAATTTTTTTTTACACCTATTTAATTACAGCAGACGATTACCATTTAAAAAAATTATAATAAAGTTTATTGTTTAGACAAAAGAATAAAAAAAAATGAGAAAGTCGATAATTTTAAAAATAAACGTTCGATGATACGGTTATTGAAATTTAAAAAAAATTGTCGTAATTAAATATTATTATTATTATTATTATTTATTAAATATTCATTTCCTAAATAATCAAATTAAAAACGAAATAATAATAATAATAATAGTAATATAACGGAAATGAAATTTTTATATATTGGATAATTTTTGTGATTATTTAATACCGAAAACAACAAAAACAAAACGAATTTTTTTTTTTTGTGACGATTTCGGTTGGCTACACTTAATATGAATCACGCGTACGACGCGTCCGAATGGAAATAAAAATTTTTTAAAAATTTTTGTTCGTTTTTTTAAAAAATATTAATGGCGTTCGTTGTTAAAAATTTCTTATTTTAAATTTAAAATAATTTTTTACGATAAATTTTAATCGACAAAAACTTTTCCTCTCCATTAATTTTTTTGTTTTATTTCAAAGGAAAAGGGCGAACAATGAAAACGTGCAGATAGACAAGAATTCGCGCCTTTTTTGTTGTTGTTGTTGTTTACTACCCTCGGGACGTTTTGTTGTTTTGTTTTCACTATCGAACAGACGTTAATATAAATCATTACCATAAATGGTTATAGTTTAACGAATTTTCTTTATGGAAAATATTATAAGGTACTTTAATAGTAATAATAATAATAATTAAATAAATTTTTGTTTATTAAACAAGTGTTGACAAGTGAAAATTTCAGTTTTGTTGTAACAATTCGTGATTGTAATTAAATAAATGAAAATTACAACAACAACAACAACGTGGATTATTATTATTATTATTATTATTATTATTATTATTATTTTCGTGTATTTTACGAGTAATTATATTATTGTTTGCATTGTGAAAAAAAATTTTTTTTCTTCTTAATTATTCATTCGCGTATCGTTTAAACAAAAAAAAAAAAAAAAATTTGCTCATTCATTTAATAATGTCGTTACGTAATAATAATAATAATAATTATTTATTGTTTGAATTGGTTAACGTTCGCGTTAAACGTTCGCACTTAAATTTAATTAGTTTTAATCAAAAAAAAAATTTTTTTATGTTACTTACACGGTGCTTCACGTTTGGATACCAATTCTTTAGCTTGAATGCATAAAAATAATGAAACAGCAACAGCAGAAACCTAAAAAATAAAACAGAAAAAAAACAAAAAGAAAATTTTTTTAAAGATGGAGAATTATTATTAACTATTACTCAATCGATAAGGTTGGGGAAATTTGATAGACTGAGAGGTAATAATAAATATTTGTATCATTTTTTTCGTTATTATTATTATTATTATAATACGGTGTGAGATAATTAATGTTAATGACACGACAATCTTGTTACTGACTGAAATTTTTTAATCGTTATGACCTATGACTTATTGATTACAAAAAAAAAAAAAAAACGATAAACTTTTTTTTATTTTTTAAATTCTTTGTTTGTTTGTGCAAAATTTTGACTCTGGGGAGAGTTTATTTGATAGAATTTAAAAAAAAAATTTTTTTTTTCGTCTTCTGCTGCCGTCGAAATTTTACAAAATATTTCGGTGGGAAATTTTTTTTCATAAGGTTTACTTTTTTTTTTTTTTTTATTTTAAAAAAAATTACGAAAAATAAAAAATTTACGCAAAATTACATATATTTTTTTTTAACGTGGCAGATTGTTGTTAAAATATAAATGATGGTGACACGTTTTCATTAGTTTTTTTTTCTTTCTCTCGTGTTACGTAAAAAAAAAAAAAGTAGTGAAGTCACCACCACCGCCGCCATTTTTTTTTCCCACCTTTTAGTCCGTTCGTTATTTTAACGGTTAAAAAATTTAACGGTTACTTTTTTTTTGGCGGGAAATTTAAAATTTATATAAAATCCATTTTTTTCTTTCCTAAATTTTATTATTTATTAATTTACGTACAACAAAAATTTAAATTAATAATTAAATGGGGGGGGGTCTCGATTTAATTTTAATAATCTAATTCTCGGTTTAATAATAATAATAAATTTAAACGTGGTTTTAGAATTTACAACAACAACAACAGCAGCAGCAGAAGAAAAAAAATCTCTTTTAACGTTTTTTTTTGTTTCAAAAATAAAAATAAAATTTTAAAATTTTAAAACTTTACTGTCCGTTCTCCCCTCGAATCGTTTGTTTTCTGTTGGAAAATTTTTTTTTACTTACCAAAAACAACTTCATCTTCGTTTTTTATTTATTTATTGATAACACAATCACACAAAACTCTTAAAAGTTTTCTTTTTTAATTCGTTTTTTTTTTTTTTTTTATTTTTCTCCTGTCGGTTTATAATAATAATACGAGAGAGAAAAAAAACAAAAAACTTTTCCTTTTTTTTTGTTACGTTAGTTTTTCACTTTCGATCGATATAAAAAACTTTTATATAAATGTGTATACCCGTACGAAAAAAAAAAAAATCAGTTAGGTATGAACCACATAATTATTTTACAAAAACAAAAAAAAAAGAAAGAAAAATTGATGTTACGAGATGAAAGATTTATTGAGAATTAACTTAAATATTCGCCATTTAATTGTCTTATATATAGATAGACGGATGTTACAACAAAGCGAAACGATGATCAAGTGGGAGCACGTGGTATGTTCTTCGTACCTACCACCTCCCCTACAAATACAGGTATACTAATAATAATAATATTCTTTCTCGACAGTTTGTGTACCTTTTGTTTATAAATCCATTCACAATGGATAAAACTTTTTTTTTTTCTTTTTTTGTTTCACTTTCGTCAATTTCACTTTTTTTTCTCTTGTCTTTTACGTTCTCCGACGTCTGTATTATTATTATTATTATTATTTGAAATCGTTTTCACTCCCCCCCCTTTCATCCCTTAATGTGTTTATATCCCTTGATGTAATAGTAAAAAAAAAAAAAACGTTTCGTAATTAAGTCTCTTTTTTTTAAAAAACATTCAATTTAATAATAAAAAGGTTGAACCTGAATCCTTTAGAGTCGTAATTAAATTTGATTGTTTCCCTCCCCTTGCCCCCTTGTTCTCCCCCTTCTTCCCCTTGCCCCTCCCCCTCCCATCCAACAGGTTTTTATTTATTTTATTATTGTTGTTGTTGTTGTTGTTGTCAATTAAAAAAATGATATTCAATAAATGCAAATAAAAAAATTTTTTTTTTTAATAAAACGCACGCACGCACGCACGCACACACCCACACATGGAACAAATTTTCTTTTTATTATTTTATTTTTAATAATTACAACAATTAATTACCTCATTCGTATATCGATTTATTAAAAATATTAAATTTATGGATTTTATTATTTTTATGGGGGAAAAAAAAACTGAATCTTTTGACTCCGTGACATAATTTACAAAATAATAATAATAATTATAATTATATATAATGTCGGGGGGAGGAGTATGGGGGATGGGGATGAGTATTCGATGATCGATTAAGAAATTAATTATTATTTATTTTGAACCGGAAAAAGGATGTGACGTAATACTAATGAAAAAAAACCTATAATAGTTTATAAATATTTTAAGGAATGAGATTTTTTTTTTTATACAAAATATTTTAATAAAAAATTAATAATTGTTTGTGTTTGTTGTGATAATAATGATAACAAACAAATTTAAACGTTTGTTATTATAATTTTTTTATTATATTGAAATTAAATTGAAATAAATTTTGATGATTTTGTTTAAAAAAAAAAATTTTTTAATCTTACAAACCGAGTTTGTTTGAATATGAGATGAATGAGAAAAAATTTAAAAAAAAATTAATTTGTCGTGGCACTAACTAATTTTTTTCCTTAAGTGGTAAAATTGTTGTAAAATTAATTATGAAATAATGAGAGAAAAAAATTTTTTTTTTGATTTTATCAAAATGAAATTGTTTTATCAATATTTTTACATCAGGTAAAAAAAAAAAAAGTTCGTTAATTGACCTTTTTTAATGTAAACATGAAATTTTATTAATCTATTTACTCTTTTTCACATTTAAAAAAAAAAAATTTTAAATTTAAATTATTTTATATTATTTATTGTTTTTGGCTCTATCTCTCGCGTATGGGTGTGTGTGTGTGGGTGTGCGTGTACGCGACGGTTCGGGAAAATTTTTCTAAATAAATAAATTTTTCGATTCAATTTTTCTTCTTCTTCTCCATACGACAAGGAAGAACGTGTTAAGCCTAAATTTTTTTTTTTTTTTTTTTTTGAATAACTAACTGAATTGCCTTGATAGTTGTTGCCAACCCTGTCATTACCGACTCATCATGAAGGACTTACAACAACAACAACAACAAACAACAACCGAAAAAAAAGGTGAATCAGTAAGAAGTAAAGACTTGATATCACTGACACATATTTTACCCTTTTATACAAAATTCTAGATAAAATTTTCCTTATCCGGTTTTTTTT